CTATTTTGTTGGTGCTAGAATGTTTTATCCTTCTCTGAGTATGAAAAAAAGCTTTAGGGCTCTTGTTATTTAATTACATTTTTGTCAGAGCAGGCATACATATGTTTCCTCAGACTACCTGTGTCTTAACGCAATTAATATCCAATGCCAATTGCAGGCAGTTAACGATAGAACACTTCTATTGACAAATGAGAGCCAGATGACTAATAAATTACTTGGGTCATGCCCACTTTTCCCTCCCCCAATCCCCCTGGAATGAGAGGAGGATCACCTATACTCTTGTTGTGTATGTTAGATTTTTTATTATTCTCATTGCCTCATCCATTGCTCCGCTGCGTAGCTGCATGTGGTATTAGATTTAGACAATCATACTCCCCTGCTGATTGCGTTCGAAATTGTTAGCTGGCATCCATGATTTAATTTTCTCTAACAAATCATTTGTTCATACTTCTCTTCGAATTTTAAGATGTGTTGCTGGGAATCATTTGTTATACTACATTAGAACCATTTGGGAATTGAAGCTGGCATATGCATCATCTTGCCTGATCGCATGCACTTGCTATCTTGTGCCTGCATCTAACCTGAATTTTTATTGGAAGTTTTCAAGTATTTTAAAAATATTTACTACTTGCTTGAGGGTGATGTAATTTGTTCACCCCTTGTGTATCTAATGCATATTTTCTTTTTGCCAGGCCTGGGACCTTTATTATCATGTCTTTCGACGGATAGATAGGCAGCTTCAGTCACTTACTACCCTAGACTTGCAGGCAGGGTTCATGTTCAAACTATTAAAATTTACTATAATGTCAATTTATATTTTAAGTGTTAATTTAGGCATTCTTTGAATCTCCATATTTCCATGAACAGTCAGTTTCGCCTGAGTTGCTGAGTTGTCGTAATTTGGAACTTGCCGTTCCTGGAACCTATCGTGCTGGTGAGTGCTATTGTATGACTCATAGCTAAATTAAGGAGTCTCAACTATTAACGTAATACTTGTGTCGGCTTCGATATTCTAGATGGACCAGTGGTGACTATTAAGTCATTTGCACCTCAACTTACTGTAATGACCTCTAAACAACGGCCTCGTAAGTTGACCATTCATGGTAGTGATGGAGAGGACTATGCTTTTTTGCTCAAGGGACATGAAGACCTACGTCAAGATGAACGTGTCATGCAGGTAAATCCACATAATTATTGAATTTTGTGTACAATATGTCGCTTTGTTGAAGATAAAGCCTCTTCTGCAGGCAGTTAATTACATGGTTTAATCTTTTGCAGCTTTTTGGTTTGGTGAATACTCTTCTTGAGAATGCTCGTAAAACCTCTGAAAAAGATCTTTCCATCCAACGATATTCTGTCATTCCTTTGTCTCCGAATAGTGGGCTAATTGGATGGGTGCCTAATTGTGATACTTTACATCACCTCATAAGAGAGTACAGGGATGCTAGAAAGGTTAATTGAAGCTGACTGAAATTTTCTTTTACTGCTTATGCATCATTAACTCATTCTCTGATCTCCAAAATGGTTCTCGTTTTAATGGTTATCAGATCACCTTAAATCAAGAACACAGGTTGATGCTCAGTTTTGCGCCAGATTATGACCATTTACCACTCATATCCAAAGTAGAAGTATTTGAATATGCTCTGCAAAATACCGAAGGAAATGATTTAGCAAAGGTATGTACTTGTCTAGTAATCTAAAATAATTCATCTTGCTTTTTCTAACTCTCATTTCTGTTTTAATACTGATAACTTGAATATATTGTGACAGGTACTTTGGTTGAAAAGTCGCACGTCAGAAGTCTGGTTGTACAGGCGAACTAATTATACAAGAAGTTTAGCAGTGATGAGCATGGTATGCTTTGCTTTCCGCTTCTTTACATATATGAGGTTATTAAGCATCTAGTCTCACCAAGAACAATCATTGCCTCTCCATTTACACATTTAGATTTTGTTCCCATTCTAGTAATTTACTATGCATATCTTGGCACGGTAAGTGGATAAACTTCGTCACAAGTATTCAGCATGAGTCTGAAGCTGCAATGTTATCTGTGTCAGACATTACACCCAAGTCCTAAGTGCGACTTCTTATTGCATCAAAGACTGCTTGACACCATCCCTAGCTATCATCATGACTTCGTATTGGCAACACCATTTTCCCATACCCAAGCTGAAGTTCCTTTGGGACTGATCCATAAAAAATAATTGACAGAATAGGTAAAGATAAACCCGAGGGGGGAAAAAGGCGGGTCTTGGAAAATGTTATATTGAAGCTGCATGTATCACCAGGTGAAAAAAAACTGATTAATACTTATTTATATTCCAAATGAATTAGCTCAATTATGATAAGAAAGAAACAAACATGTTTGTTTACATTGTTGCAGAAAACTCAGTATAGTTAATAATGCAATAATTGTATGCACAAACTACCAGTTCTGGTTCTGCCTTTGACCCGGTTAACCTAACGACTGACCTTGTCTGATTATCACTACCAAATCAGTTGCTAAAACAAAGCAAATCAAATCAGGTGTGAACCTCCAAGGTTTCTGTGTCGGGCCTGTAATCCTTTTTATCATCACTACAGTGGATTTAATGCTACTCACTCTTCATTTCGCTTTAAGTACCCGTGTCGTACCCCTGATACACGGACATGGGTAGGACATTTAGACACTTCATTTTAGTTCAATATCATAGAATTTCACAAATAGCCGAGTCAGATACTTGGACACGTACTCGTGTTGGACATAGACATGGGTAACATTACTAAATAGTGCTGATGATTTATTTTTTCTTTTAAATGACAACATGAATTTTTTGTCTGACCCCCTGATCTATTTGGTAAAAAAAAAGCTTATGTTTCTGCATTGAATGTCTACCAGGTCGGCTACCTTCTTGGCTTGGGTGATCGACACCCAAGTAACCTTATGCTACATCGTTACAGGTATAGTATTTAATGTAGCTTACAAAGCTAGTATTATGTATGACAATAATTAACTTTACAATTTCTCAGTGGGAAAATCTTGCATATTGATTTTGGGGACTGCTTTGAAGCATCGATGAACAGAGAGAAATTCCCTGAAAAGGTGCAATGTGCTTTCTTTTCTTTTGGGTGACTGGCTATAAAATCTCTGATTTCTGATGTGTGAATTGCATTTAATTGACCTATTGTATAATGTGCAGGTGCCTTTTCGCTTGACTAGAATGCTTGTAAAAGCCATGGAAGTCAGTGGAATAGAGGGTACCTTCCGCACAACATGTGAAAATGTGATGCAAGTTCTTAGAACAAACAAGGACAGTGTCATGGCTATGATGGAGGTAGAAAGACCAGTATTTTTTTTTTAATATTTCCTGCCTGTTAGTATACAAATACTGGATTTTTTTTGCACCATGTGATTTAGGAGCTTTGATAGCTTGTTTTGATTTCCTCTGCTGCCTTTGGGTTCACCATTGGCGTGAAATATGATGCTTCTGTAACCCCTGTTCACCTTTTGGGTTTAGGCTTTTGTTCACGATCCTCTTATAAATTGGCGTCTTTTCAACTTCAATGAAGTCCCACAAATCTCTACTCTTGCAAGTGCACATATCCCTTCTGCTGTGAATGGTGAAGAACCTTCTTCAAGTAATAACCTCTCACATCCTCAGCGAGGAGTTCGAGAGAGAGAACTACTACAGGTTTGGGGAATCCCACAAATTTTTGGATTGGTTTAACCCTCTGATATTGATCTAATCTTCTCTATTTTGCCGCCTTAGGCTGTTAATCAACTCGGTGATGCTAATGAGGTTCTGAATGAGCGTGCTGTGATGGTTATGGCTCGGATGAGTAACAAGCTTACAGGGCGTGACTTTTCCACGGTTTCTGCTTCTACAGTTGCAGGCCAAGGTGCAGCGGACAGTAGTAAGACTAGTAACTTTGCAGCAGGAGATTCTCGTGAAGTCGAACATGGCTTGTCTGTCAAACTACAGGTTCAAAAATTGATAGATCAGGCTACTTCATATGAGAATTTATGCCAAAATTACGTCGGGTATGAATCCTAATCTTTTTACTGTAAATTTAGCGCCCCCCCCCCCCCCAAAAAAAAAAAAAAAAAAAAAATTCCGTAACATGCTGAGAAATCGATGAGAATATGAGATGTGCCAGAACTAAATTTTGGATTGTTTCCATCTTTTTGGAACTTGATCGCTTTTTCACAAAGATTCGATAGTGATTCTATTTATCGAATTAGATGCATAATATTATAAACGTAACAGGTGCTTGCTTTGAGACTTTTCTTTTCCTTTTGAATGTGGGAGTGCATCAGGTAGTTAGGTTTGCTATATTTTGCTAAAGATGCCAGTTCTTATTTATCTTCAGTGTGAAATGCACAATTAGACCCTTGAGATCAATTAGGAAGGGATAATTACATGAAATGAACCCACTAAAATCAAATAGGATCTCTTGCACTTAATTTCTTTTCTACATGTAACTCATTTTGAACTCCTATTAATTCTTATTCTGTTTTGTAATATTGACTCATTTTACCCACCTATCTTTTTCTTTTTTCCTTCACTGCAATTTTCACTCAGAAATAAATGGAATAATAATTTTTAGTGTGTGTTCATTTGATCTCATTCTTTGGCTAACATACGCGTTCTGTCTTTTCAGGTGGTGCCCATTTTGGTGAGCAACAACCGATTGTATGTTGTTTATGGTGTACATATGTTTATTCTTCTCTTTTTCTTTCCCCATTTTTGTATCATTGCAACAGAGGTTGTATAGATCTCACATTCTCACCATGTACATATATGATGTTGTAGCATTATTTGTACAGAAATTTCATTATGCAATAATACAAGCTCTTGTAGAAGATGTGTTTTTTTTGGTGAAAGTAGAAGATGTGTTTACCTTCAGACCAAATTTTATTATTTTCTACAAACGTGGACTAATAGGGATTGATATTTTGCAACTATATTACTCACTGAATCCTAGAGTTTAGTTTTCAAAATGTGCTACAAATACTTCATACGGAGGGAGTATCATCTGCATCAACGACCTTTGTGCCTATAGATAATAGGACTTAAAATTTTGTATTGATACTTGGATTACTTAGATGTGGGAATAATTGGGCATTGTACGCAACATTTGATTTTTAATCAGTGTTAATCTATCTTTAAACCACAACCTCTTTGGTAGTTGTGTAGTGACATTTATTGAATTTAGAACAACACAATGTGACTCTAAATTGGAATAAGCTGGTTATTAATTAGCCAGAATATAGTGTTCCCTATTCTTCTTTGCCAAGGTCCACCCCACCCACACGGGCCAACACCCCCCTCATGATACGAGTCAACACCCCCCTCATGATACGAGTCAACTTATTAAAAGTTTAATATCTACTTTGTATTTTCCATGCCCTTAATTTATAGTGAGTACAAAGTATTGAGATCGAATCCCAAGTCCCAACATAGCAAATACTAGAGACACTTTCGGGGATTCCTTGCCCTTTTCCCCTCACTCTCAAAGTATTTGACTCGTAATTATCGGACCAAAAAAACCATAAGGGTTCTCCTTACCTTAAAAAAAAAAAAAAAAAAAAAACGTTTATAACCAATTAAAAGACAAATCAAAAACTTTTCTTCATTTCGGGTTAAATTTTAATCAAACTCAATTATAAATATTGGTGGAAACTAAATATCGTACACATGTGTCCATGATTTAAAATGTGATAAGTTGTAATTACAAAAATCAGATAATATTTTCTTCAAAAAAAAAAAAAAAGAATCAAATAATATTATTTCGTAAGCTTGTAACTTACTAATTTTGTTCGTATTAATATTTGTACGCAATACAACACTCCAAGAAGTTTGTGGTTAAACACAGTCTCTCTCCTCCTACGGTCCTGAGTATATATAAACAAATATACTCGTGGATCTCCTGTTCACTTTCTCTCTCCTCATAATCTTGAAATTATCTCTGTTTTTGTACCTTCATTATTCAATTTCTTCCAAATTCTATCAAGCTTAATTTTTATTCTGTCAGATCTCTGCAAATTATTCTCATGCTCAAACAAAACTATTTCTTCCGATTAAATTGCGGCGTAATTCAGGTTTTGTTTTCCCCCTTTTAATTAACACTTTAATTAATTGATTGATTATTGATCGCAAAATATAAGGTTTATTTTCCTAGTATTTCTATTAAAATAGTATTTTTCATACCTTTCTTCATTGCGTTGAATTTGCATATTCTTTACTTTCTTTTTGGTGTTCGTAAAGTGATTCTCAAGAAAATTCGCAAAAACAATTCATTTTGATTTGATTGCAAAAAATTACTATTTTTCTTTCTTTTTCATTTTCTTTTTTTTTTTTTTTTGTATCGGAAATTTTTGGTGTTAATTGCTCTATAATTTGGGGAAATTTGTTGAATTAGCTGTAAATTTGAGTTTGGAGGTGAGAGAAATTACATGCTTTAGTTGAGATTTTGAAGAAATGTAAACTGAGTGTAAATAATGAATTGGTCCGTTTTAGCACAATCAACATTGGTTTTTGGAGTGTGAAAACAAGTGTATCTGCAATATTCGTGTTTATTTAATGTAAGAATGTCTGGAATTTCAATGGAATCTTAGTATGATTTGATATATTATTGACTAGTTGTAGTTAGGTATTTGTATATCTTTTTCTATATTTCATTTGACAGAAGAGAGATTGACTTCATTGGTTTAATTGATGGAAGACTTTAGCCATGGACACCGTAACACCTAGTCATATGTGTCTCCGGGTGCACGAGCCTAGGTGATGTGGAACAATTCAGGGACGAATGTAAGGGCTAGACTCCTTCGCGTATTCCTTAGATTGTTGCCACATTATCTAAAGTGTATAGGTTCTATATCTTCCCTAACAATGGCCTCTTTAGTATTATACACAATTTAGGATTTTAGAGAAGAATACAAGGGTTAGACTCCTTCGTGTTTTCCTTGTATTGTTGCCGTATTATCTAAGTGTATAGGATCTGTATCCCCTTAGCAATGGCCGCTTTAGTTTTTCCCTCAATTTAGGGACAAATCTTTAGTTTTGTAGCTATGTCTACCTTTTCTGTTGTGTTCACTCTTAGAGATTAACTCATGCCTTTTTTTTTTTGCATGAAGGCCGTGTACTTTTTATGGTTATGAATTGACTTGCTCGGCTTAATGGGTGGTATATTCAGCCTGAACAGTTCTAGTGAGTGTAAACGGCTGGACTATGAGGATACAAGTACAGGCTCTTGCAAGCGGCAAAGGGTAACAAGGTGCTTTGAGCATAGCACAAGACTAATTCCTTCTCTTCCAAATGAACTATCACTCCAGATTCTTGCCAGAGTACCTAGAGCTTACTATTTGCAACTGAAGTTGGTTTCTCGGACTTGGAAAGAAGCTTTATCTACTTCTGAAATATATGATTTAAGAAGAGAGTTTAAAATAACCGAAGAGTGGCTTTTCATACTGTCTCGTGTTGAAGATAACTTATCATGGTATGCGTTGGATCCTGTTTCTCAGAAATGGCAAAGGTTGCCCCCAATGCCTCGTAACTTAACCCATGATGAATCTCAGAGAGGCTTGGCTATTCAAGTGTGGAACTCTTTGGGATCAAAATTGAAAATAGCAGAAGCGGTAAGAGGGTGGCTTGGTGGAGGTGATCCACTGGATAAACTTCCTTTCTGTGGCTGTTCAATTGCAGCTGTGAATGGTTGTCTCTATGTAGTTGGGGGACTGTCGAGGACCTCAGCTTTAAGGTGTGTCCGACGCTATGATCCTATTTTAAATACCTGGAATGAAGTGAGCCCCATGTTAACTGGTAGAGCTTATAGTAAGACAGGAGTCATTAACAACAAACTCTACGTTGTTGGAGGGGTTAGCCGATACAGAGGTGGGTTAACTCCTTTGCAGTGTGCTGAAGTATTTGACCCTGAGACAGATCAGTGGTCTGAGGTTCCCAGCATGCCATTCGCTAAGGCTCAGGTCATGCCTACTGCTTTTTTAGCCGATCTTCTCAAGCCAATAGCAACAGGATTGACAACATACAAGAATAAGCTTTATGTGCCTCAAAGTTTGTACTGCTGGCCTTTCTTTGTTGATGCTGGTGGCGAAATATACGACCCAGAAACTAATTCATGGATTGAAATGCCTGTTGGAATGGGCGAGGGTTGGCCTGCTAAGCAGGCAGGAACCAAATTGAGTGTTGTAGTTGATGATGAGTTATACGCTTTGGATCTGTCAGGCTCTTTGGATAATGCTAAGATTAAAGTATATGATCACCAAGATGATTCTTGGAAAGTTATATCTGGAGAAGTTCCTATGACTCATGATCAAACTGATGCTGAATCTCCATATTTACTTGCTGGTTTCCTTGGAAAGCTTCATGTGATCATTAAAGATGCCAATTCTGATATTGCAGTTTTGCAAGCTGCTACGGGGCCCTTGGCACAACCCGCGCAGTTAAATTCATTGTCTAACAGATGCTCTTTAATTGAAAGCTCTGTTGCATCGTCTCCGTCAGAAGTTATCTGGAAAGTCATTGCATCAAGGCGAACTGGGCCTTCTGAGTTGGTTAGCTGTCAAATTCTCAGAATCTGATTCTTGATGTTGTTATCGTTGCTTGAATCTGATTAGACCTGCACTTGATATAATCGCCCAGATTTTTGCGCTAGCATTAGATGGATGAACGTGATGCATCTTTTCACTCATCGCACATTCTAGGTGTCCTGCCCCAAGGGAAGGCTAAAAGTGAGTGGAGCTTAGAGGTTACCATATGAATAATTGCGCTCTATTGCAATTGCACATGGTTATAGGGGTACAAGTTTCTGCTGATAGCGTAGTGATAGGAACGCGTAATAATAACTAATAAGTGCTTCTTATGCCTTTTTTTTTTACGCGATTGTGGCTGTTTGGTTTGTGTCCATTGTAGATATACATAATACCACGTCCTACTATGTCTACTCCACTCTTAATTCATTTTATTTTTCTTTTCTATTTAGAGATTATTCCAGTACAGCATACCTCTGTTATATGGCATTAGTTTAAAACATATCAACTAATACGAGTACAACCATGAAAACCAAAAAAAAACCAATATTATCAATGCTCTTCGTATATTTTTGTAATGCTACTGTCAATAGAGTTAAATGTAGACACATGGTTTGAGCTTGGATGGTTGAACCTTTTGGTCCTTTTCATGTTTTTCTAGCAGTCCCAAGAGTCATGCCTTATGCCAAAAAGAATATCATGGGAAGACATTAATCTCAAACGTTTAAAAAGGTAACATAGACCAAAAGATCAGATACACCTTTGTAAGGCTTCGTAAATTAACAATTAGAAGGCTAAACGATAACCAGTGAACATCTCCTTGAGAATAAAAATTCAAACACCTACAAAACTAATACTACCAGAACAATCAATAGAATACCATAATGATGGGCGGTTAAAAAAAAAATAAAAAATAAATAAAAATTACACAATAATTCTGCTCTTATAAGGGATGTTCCTTTATTCTCTCCATTTTCTAGGATTAGATAGAATCAAGATTCAAGAATTTATGAAGGGAAATCAAATTCAGGATTGGAGGACTATAGGTACATTGCTTCACTTGTAATTGCACTCAGCCATGCCGAATTTCCACCAGAAATCACGATCTGAATAAGTTAGCTCCTGCCAAATCCAGAGCATGTATCAAAGTGCCCCAAAGAGTGGGACAATACCTGATTACATATTTACATAAAACAAGTTTGCTTCATTGCTAGATAAATAATAGCCACTAGCACGTGAACCTGAATGCTTCAACTGCTAAAAAAGCTAAGCATTTGTGGAGGGTCATTCATACCAGTTAGCATTTAGAAAATCCAAGATTTTGACATGTATTCAACTTTCTGCGGAATGGCCTGCAAGCAGGTTTATGCCAATGGCTTTATAACCTCTGAGCTTATAACTAGAGCTGCTTTTGGTTTTTACTGTCCGCAAGACCCACCAGGAAATCAGTAAATATGTGTTCATATCCCGGCATTTTTCCATAACCTGATAGATGGAAGTGCCAATTTTACAATTAGAATGAATTGTATCCCAGATTGAGTAAAATGATCAATCTTGAAGTATTGTACTTGGTGCTTACTGGTGAGAGAGGGTGGTTCAGGCAGCTATATATCAACATTCAAGATAGATGAAGAAACTAACCAGGGAAGTAATTTATGTCAATTACGTAGAATAGATCTCTTTTCCCATGCTCACGAATAATATCAATATTGAACAGCTGAAGCCCCTGAAAAATACAGCAAGGGTCAGAAGCAGAGGTATGTCTAGAGAAAACATGCTATAAAAAGGGGGACACAATGAACAACAGGGAATTACCATTCGGCGGCGAAGTTCCCCAACAAGTCTCTCAAGCATCGGTCTTGGAGGAAGCTCTGAAACAGACCAAATACAATGCAATCCTGTCAGGCGTAATACACTCAAATAGAGGCTTTCCATACTTTGAAAAATACAAACTCTCCTTACACCCAACAGATTGTTCAGGATAAAATATATTGTTACCCCCTCCAATCCTCAACACCACCAGCAAAAAAGAGGCTATTGAAGGCAAATAAGTAATTCACTTTAAAATGAGTCAGCAGTCAAGTGACTAATTTTGCATCAATATCAATAAGACAACAAATAATTTGAGCACAACAGCTCCTCTCATGGAGAACTATTTTAAATGACAAAAGGTTTCCATGAAATCCGCAATATAACCCACATCCAGCATGTTATAAGCAGTGTGATTATAATTTTGTTTTCTTTGTCAGTCAATTTGTCATTTCAGACACTGAGAAAGCTATATGAGCCAGCAGTAGCACAATTGGCCTCGGAACTCTAATTTTTCCTTAGTTGGTGTATGATAACATAGTCTTACCAGCAATACCAGGCTCTAGATCTGCCTCATCAGCACTCGCTGCAGCACATGAAACCCTTGGAAACTGGAAAACCCCAGCATACTTTGAGAGCTCTCTCTTGCAGACATCTGGTAAAGAGAATCGCCTTACAACTTTTATAGCATTCCCAATAACATAGACTTTGAACATGACACCACCTGCATTGAAACAAAAGAATTGATTGATATCTTTAGTTACCTACAGTAGGAACTAGGAAGGGCAGGGAAAAAAGACATACTATGTTAATACATCAAAATTGACAAATTACCATGGTTAACAAACTCCTGAAGAATCAATGGAGGCTCAAGATTCGATAGAGAGACATTATCATAAGCAAGGAATAGCTCGTGTGACTTTGCACTTCCATCCACAAACAATGGTTTTGACACTGCAATACAATCCAAAAGCCCAAGTTCAATTTACTGTACAAATACCAACATACCAAGGACACAAGAATCTTGAAGCCATTCCAAAGTTGATGTTGCATTCTGTTTTCTACAACCATAAACATTTCTGTTTTCCAACATGGAAACTTAACCAAGAAAAATAAATTGCTAGCCAAATGCCAAGGCTCTTTTGCAACTGACAAAGCAAACCTGTTCAATGCAGGTAGGGGCAACCAGGCAAGCATCTAAATATTTTTCATTATCACAAAATGTAAACAATCATATATACCACCATTGTTTTATACATCATTCAAGAATCAAGACTCATTGTCATTCATGCATCATCAACGTTCTCATGCTTTACAATTACAAGCCTATCCCCGGATTTCCTCCGTACAAGGCTACTAGCCTTTCAAACAATTAACACTTAAGAGAGCACTAAATGCCAACACTACATTATAAAATAGAAACACAATAATCCAAATATGCAAGATATAGGTGCACTACAATTTAAACAGTTTGCACATCCTATGGGCAATGATAGAACCACTATGTAATTCTCACGAGTTTCCGAGGCTCACTACCATTAAAAAAGCAGTACAACTATTAATTTACAATGGACAGAAACGGAGCACAGGATGCATACCTAATGGGAGTTTCAATCCAGCTTTAGCAACCTCGGCAGGAATCAACGTAGGATCTTTCTCAATAACCAGCTGTTTAGGCACACATACTCTGCCTAACGGATATAAAATAATAGAAAATATGTCAGGTCAACACGATAAACTTCTATACAACAAGACAAATAAGATCACAGAAACAAGAATCCAAATAAGTAAGCAACTTTTTGAAAAAATTAAACTTGAGAAATGCAAGAATATTTTCAATCAGTAGAGAAATACAAGGAAAATGGAGAAAGTATTGTTCTCCTTATAAAAATTAGAAAGATCCGATTAAAATCAGATAAATGTCAGCACTAAGGAGCATGTAACAGTGTTTACCATAAGAATCAGTCAAGCCCAAAGCAGCTACATCTTCAAGCATGGACTGTCTATTTCTCACACATTGTATCGCATAAGGAGGATCAAGAACCATTACATCTGGATGCTTGAGTCTGTAATCCTTCAAAATGAAATTGGACAGGGAAAATGGTAAGATTGAAGTTCAATGTAATGTGGCAAAGCTTCACTTGAAAGGCATATAACTCAGTAAACACCTTAGTACATGAGACAAATACAATGACCAAGATAGCAATTTGTGTCTAGATTTAGTTTTCTATTTATTTATTATATTCATTCCTCTGTAGAAGTAGTATCTTGAAAGCTACTGTTTGTCAAACTGTCAAAGAGAAATATAATAACCTAAGTATTGAAAAAGTTTCCAATGCATTCAGTCTTCAAAACTGTGGCAACCTCAGTATTACAAAATTGGTGTTTTTCAGGTGTAGCATGTCATGTCGACATAGTTGCAATGTGACATGATAGACTGGAAATTCTCAACTTCATTATCAGTATGGGTTTAAAAAAAATTCTTAGATATTACATACAGTTATAGAACTTTAAACAGCATATCAAGATAATCTGTAAAGAAAGAGACTTCAAACATTCGTAGTGGACTTAAGTATGGCCCAAAGTTTTCTTAAAGGTGAATTTCAAAAATATAAATACAGTAATACACTTAATGGCTTGAGCTTCAAGTTACAATGGCTAATGCAGATAGGACAGCATATGTCAGACACAGTGTGATTTTAAATACAACTTATGGAACAACATTTTCGCACTACATCATGTTGAATTACTTTACATAACGGACTTAACGTAACAAAAAGGTCATTAATTTATTTCACCTTCCAGACTATCTCATCCATTGCTCAAACCCATGCATAGTGCAAACACCAAAAACTGACACCACATACAATCATTAACAACTTTACTTTCTTCACTGCATGCAAGCAGAGTTTGCTCTTTAACTTAGAATTGCAGAAACACATGTTCAATGAAAGAGCAAAGATAAAAGGAAATCTCTGTGAAATCAGTTATCTAGAGAAAGATGAAATATAATACTCCTATACACTCAGCATTAGCCAATGACTAAAAGCATTCATGGCTCAAGGCTCCACTCATCCAACCCTCCCTCCCCCACCACCAAAAGCAACATTAAAATCAGAGCGCTAATCCCTAAAATTGGGTAACTCTTATGCGTAAAATGACAGAGTATCAATAGTACGTGTTAGATATTCTTACTCGATTAGAACTTTAGAAGTATAAAAGTTAGGTCTTCCTAGACAAGGTGAATTACTCTCGACGGCCTTAAGGTTAACTATGCACTTCATATATTAGAGCACAGTGCCACTGCTCAAGAAGCTCCATAATGGCTAAAGAGAGAGGAGAGCACAATGAGCGGGGAAGAGATAGAGGAAGAGGCATTGGTAGAGATAAAAGGAGTGAGGAAAGAAAAGGAGGAACCAACACCTCTCATGAGGTACTGATTTCTAGGAAATCCATGGGTTTGAATTCTTACCTTATTCCTTACACCTAGAAGCAGGCCAAGAAAGATTTTATCCTCCTATTCAGCAACCCTTTCACACCATCACAAACACCCCCCCCCCCACCCCCCAAAATAAAAAGAAAAAAAACTTCACCACCCCATGGCCCATGCTGCTGCCACTGTCATATCCCACATAGCAATCA